TCACAGAATGATTACATGATGAAAACACTTCAGTAATACATAAATTAATGAACTAGAAAAAAGATTTTTAAGTTCCATTTGTTCATTTCCTTGAATATTCCTAAAATTTAACTAATGTTATCTACACTGTCTACTATAGAGTTTCTCTTCAAGTGATAATGATTCTATAGCCATCCGGTTTCTTTTTTGAGAGGTACTTTTAAAATTCTTCAATATATTGATTGCTATTTTCTTATAAAAAAAGAAGAACACATTTTAAACATCCTTGAAATGAGATAAATGTTATTCTACTCTTTTTAATGTGTTTTTAGTTTTATTAAACTAAAAGAAATTTTAAGTTGTTAAAATGGAAACAGATACAAAATTGTGAATATAATGGTGTATTATTATCTAGTTTTAGGCAATCATGATGAATTGTTTTATAATTTAAATGAAAAGTATTCAGTATGATTACTCACTCTTGATAATATTATTATTTCCATGTATTTTATTAAACTTTTTGTTTAGTATCATTCATTTTCGGTTTGTAGCATGGTCTACATATATCTAGTACAACTAGACGAAATGGTTTAAAATATTTAAAGTAAATAAAAAAATCAAACAATTCACGTGTAAAATGTAAATTCCAAAATATATTTGCTATTTGAATTGCAAATTTGGACTGATTCAATGCATTTCTAATATCACTATATCTACCAATAATGTAAGCGATGGCTTGCGGAATCGATGTTAAAGTATATGATGCTGAGTAGACTAAAAAGAATACAGTTGTATGTAATTGTCTACGATCAGTTACACTCATCTTTCTTGTAGCTGTATCTTTTACATGTTTACGTATACGTAGAAGAAATGCCACATTAATACCGACTAATATTAGACTTTGTACGCAGCCTAAATTTGAAAACAATGCATGGTATAATCGAATTGCATATTGATTTGGTTCTAAAGAACATTGTGTTTTTGATTCAACAATATACCAACCACTTATGAAGAGTACTGGCAACATCATTAGGAAGCTCAACAGATAGACTGCACCACATGCAAACCAAACATAATATTTCGGTAGCTTATTAAATAATATTGGAAAATATATGCAAAAGAAACGATCCAACGCAGCACAAACTAATAAATTACACATGCATGTTGACACAGATGAATAGATGAATCGATGTATTCTACATACCATTGGTGAAACGTTGTTTATAATAAAATACACTTCGCCTTTCGTGATGAATGGTAAACCTTTAGCAGAAAATAACCATAACCAACCATATATTATATTCGTTATTGAATTCATGATTGCAATAAACGCCATATAGATCATATGACGTGGCATCAACTTAATTTGAACAAACGTAACAGCTGATATGAATGTGTTTGAAATAAGTCCTAAGATAGATATAACTGGTAGTATATAACCGGACCATGCTCCTAACAACATAGATACTCCACAACTTATTCGATCGTTTTGAATTATTAAATTTGATGTATTTATTAAGGATGAATCACAACCTTCATATGTATCCCATGGAGTATTTCTAAACTGTTCAGTTAAATTTTCCATTAGACTGTATAGTTGACAGTATTGAAATTTCTATTGTAGTTACGAAATAATTCATAAATTAATATGACTGAAATAGGATATTCATAAAAAGCAGTGTTTTAAAATATGTATTCATGCTTGTTGAGAATGAACCCATGTGAACTGATGATTTTGCAAAGAAGGAAGTTGAATAATATCAATTATATTATGGTGTTATTTAAGTCACGAATTTTCAAGGAAATGCAGACACAATAGAATGTTCCATTGACCGACTTCAATATGCTTTATAAGAGAATTATACCGTCATTTGCAGATTAGTGAGTTATATTTTATAAAAAGAATATTTTGAATGGATTTTATATCAACTGTAAATAAGTCTCCATAACATATTTTTGTATGTAAACTAGTTAAAAGAAACTTGTCTTTATATTTAGTTGCAATCTATGAATTATAATTAAACTAACGGTGATGATTTTACTGATTATTTCTATGGGAATTCAATATATTCACAGTTAATAATTCTAGTGTGCGAAACTAAAATAAAAACCCATCATATATATATGCTGAATTCACTTAATCTGAATAAGCGTCTTTATCTATTTCCAATATATGGTATCGTATCAATTTTAAATTGCACGCGAAGAAGAATTGAACGGACTTAAAATTGATACGTATCAATGTTCTATTGACTAGGGAATATAAATAAATGAATATTCTTCTGGAGACATTACAGATTTTTAATTCACTATCCTACTAGTATACTGAGTAAATTTTTGAGTGTGGGTAATTTATAATATTTAGAATATGATATACAATCGTGTATTTAACTAGGTTATATATGTGCTCTGACATTTATCTATCAGAATACAAAAGGTGATTAATTTCAAGGGCTTACATACAAGTTTGGTAAGGAATGTAATTTGATTACATTCAGGAGCTACAAACTTTAGAAAAAAATATTGAGTTTAAACAACCCTATATGGTCACAAAAATTATTCGACAGCTCATTATTTTGAAACACGAAGAAAAATTCGAGAAATAAAATCGATGTTAAGATGAAGAGTAAATAAGGTTGAAGAACTCTAAATCAAGTTTATTATCAGCGGCTTGGTGCTATTATATCAGTCAATATTATACACGTTCTGAATACTAATTAATTATTATTATTTATTGACATCACGAATCGCTAAATGATAGATCATTGAAAACCTGGAAGCACTGAATGACCGTTTCACCGTAGTATAGGACTTCTCAGCAGTGCTCAACAACGATCTCGCATGTATAGTCAAATATATAGACAACTAACTAAAACATCCTTTGAATAGTCCCGGAGAAATAGTTCTGTTTGTTTATGTAGCATCATAAGGTAATCGAATTATATTTCCTATTATTTTTCAAACATTAAGATGGATTAGTTTGTTACCGATAAATGAAGATTTTATTCATCAATTAAGCATTTGTTGTATTGTATTAGTTCGTTTTCGTTTTTGTTTTGTTTTCCTCAAATAACTAAGAGTTGTCATCTTTATAACTAAGAGACAGTCTCGTCCAAATTCCTTCGCTCTATTGCGTGTCGAGATAAAGTTGGAAATGTGCAGATCTAAAAAACGAATTCATGGAAATTTGTATGTTTTAAAAGTTTTTTTATAATCCTTAAGAAATTATTTGCAATCCAAATATTGTTTTGGGAACAAGAGAATTTCCAGTGAAATATTTTCAGCCAATTTATTCTCAGGCCAAATAATTTTAGTTTGCAACTATCGTTTTATTGTAAGTTATGTTAGGGGTGAACAAAATTTTCGTTTACATCATTTGGAACTTCAATAGTTTCCTTACAAGTAAAGCTAGGAAGATTTGCTCAGAGGGTACAATAAATGAACAACTAGAGTTCACATATAATATTTTGACTGAAACGATACATCATCTGAGTCTTCTGAATAAGAGTATAGATAAAGTGAACAGCAAGGTAGTGATATCAATGTCTTAGGAGAAATCATTCATTTTGTAGCTACAATTCAGCAGATATATAGCTAGTGATGTACCACAGAATAAACTGACTGGAGTACCAAAGAAGACGTTTTATGTAGTTAATCTCTCTATATTTTTCTAACTAGCCTGTGATTGTTCGTCAACTAAAAGATATTTCATCTGGTTTTTTGACAGCCATACATGTCTTCAAATTCAGTTACTGCTTCAGAGACAACTATATCAGATGTACAACCGGACAATGCGGCCAACAAGTTAGTGAGTACCTTTATTCAGGGTTCGGAAAGGGTATGACTACAATAGTACACAGCTTCGTTCTATAACAATTGCTTGATGGCCATCATGTAGTAGATAGGGCCATTTCATTAAAAGTAAGTTGTCGTATACATTCAACTTTTTCTGATGCACTTTAAACTCTTTTTCTATATACGGCCAAAGTTATGGAGATTCAAGCTAACAAACCTAATCTCTGTATTCATAATAAATTCCCAATATTCCTTTCTCGTTCTAGACCCGATAAGACTTATAAAATTATTTTACTTTTTATCATTATCTATCAAATCTTTTGTCTCTCTACTTTTTTCCACCCATCTTTTTTTCAATCATTGTCCACTGTCTAATTTCTTCATCATCAGGCTCTACAGTTTTAAATCAAAAATTATTTTTGTGTTACAATAGACAAAATATTGCAGTAGAAATTATTATCCAAGTCTCAATTAACGTGAAGTTCGTCATTCTCAATTTACCATTTGTATTAATACAACTTTAATATTTTATCCATTGTAATACAATAATTTTGGATTTGTATCAGTGGAGCCTAATGAAGATGTTCTCGTAAACTATCGTTCTCTTTAACACTCACACATAATGACAATAGTTGCTAAAACAAAATATGCTTCATAAACAATCTGAACAACTTTTGTGCAGATCAAATATTTTAGAACTCTTTATTTTAAGTTATTAAAGAATATTACTAATTCGATTACATAACTGATAGCAGATAAATATATTGTTATGGATCGGAATAAAAGTAAAGAAGATTAAAATGTATTTTAATAAAATCTGATTGCTTGATGACAATGTGTATTTTTAGATGATGTACCACATGAACATAGAAATGATTTAGGTACATGATTAGTACGGCACATCATTTAAACCATCTTATGATGAGTTTAGATGAACATTATTACAGAACAAATACGAACTTGATAGGTACATTTACGTGATCTAATGTCCCAAGGTGGTTGTATAAAATCTATCACGTTACAGAACAATTGTCTATGTCTGAAAACAACTTAAAATTGGAAATCATATAATCATGAAATGTGATAGTGTGAACCCGTTCATCTTGACTCAGATGGACTCTCTGTTTGATTGTTTCTTCATACTATAATTTGATTTGTATGTCATTGTTCAATTACTTGAATATTTATGTTTACTCATTATTGAAGTTCATTTTATAAGCATTCCGTTATGATCGCTGCTGATATGTTGAAAATTGGGAGTTCAATGTAGAGCTCTTGTTTTTCAACTTTCCACAACCTCTGTAAACAATTAAGCATGTTTCGCGTACTGGTTGAAAATAAAAGTAACCCAATACAATATCAAACAAACTTCTACAGAAGAACAAAGTCCATATTATATCACCAATGTTTTGACACAAATCAGAATTAGCATCAATGAAACCCAGTACAGTAGCTCTGTTTATTATGTACACAACACTTTGTGGAACACCAAACACTGCATAGGATGCAGAAAATATGATTAGAAATGTCAAAGTTTGAAGCTGTTTACGATCCGTCGCAGTTGTGTTTTTCATTGTGCTCATATGTTGCAAATGTTTGCGTATGCGTATGAAAAACATGATATTTATGGTTATGGTGATAGAAAGTTGTACAGGTCCCAGATTTGTTACCAAAGCATTGTAAAATAAAGAATAGATACTCTCTGGTGTAACCCAACAATGAAGCTTTCCTCCAACAACAAGCAAGCTGCTAACGATTGCAAATGGAATTGTCATAAGAAAGCTTATGAGCCACACTGTACCGAAAGCATACCAAGCGAACTTGTTTGGTAGGTTTGAGAATTTTGTCGGGAAATAAACAGTTAGATAACGATCAACTGCTGCACACAATAGAAAGTTACACATCAGATTTGAAGAAAACGAATGCCAAAAACGGAAAAATTTACACGAATGTATGGACACATACAACAGGAAGAAATATTTATCACCATTTGTTGCATACGGTAATCCTTTGGTTAAGTAAAACCAAAACAAGCCATACGCTATACTGACAAGTATATTTGATATCAGTGATCCAAGGAAGTAAATTGACGATCTAGTTTTATGGTTGGATGCAATTAACACACTAGTCAGTGTAGTATAAATGATAAATGATATGATTAGGAATACGGGCAAAATATAGGCTGATATGAAACCCAATACTGTTGATGCTATGCACGTCGCATAAACACCTTCTGTCCATTTCACTAATAACTTGTTACAAATTAACTTGGAACTCCATGGGTTTTCTCTGAATGGCCATGTAGTTATGTTATACTCCATTTTTTCGGTCGTTATTTCTTGTTAAATGCTGTTGTAGTTTAAAAGAAAATGTTCTTCTTACACAAGGTGCTTCATATTCATGAACACATCCATGTTAGTAGAAGAATTTTCTAATCGCGATTTGTGTCGGTAACCAGCTAGGTTTGCAAACTTTATCAAAGTTAATAGAAGGGTGTTTCCACTAATAATCAATGTAAGTCATCAAATAGTAGGTTAATCATTCAGTTATTTTTCTGATTTCATACCATTTCACCTTTTGAGCAGCATTTAGGAACCAAGACTATTGCCCAGTCGAAGATTGTTCACTTACAGAAAGACATTTTAATGCATCTGTTCATCGTGCTTGAAGGAATTATATTCTTGTACATTTATGCTTTTGTTCTATGTGGTTTGTTAGTTTGAACCCGTTCTTTAATGAAGTAATTGTCGGCCATCCAAATATAGGTCAATTTTATTTCACTGTGGTTGGCTAATATTGTTTTGTAGTGATCTTATATGGACTATTATGAATTTAAGTTTTCTAATTGGTAGTCTGCTCGTGTTTGTCCAATAACGTTTTCAACCAATCACATGCCTATACTGTAGCATATTCGTTAGGTTCAGATTGCAGCGTACACTTCCACTAATAACAATCATCAATCTAATGGAAACATCCATCATCATTAGTGGGCTATTTCACTTCTCTCAATCCTGAGTATTTTGTTGTAATATATAAATGCATATATGTATTTGTTAAAGGGTAATGTAAATTGATTAGTACGATGTCGATATTGAGTAATGTTAGACTACGATTGAAAACCTGAAAGCACTGGACAGCAGTTTCGTCACAGTACGGGGCTTCTCAGTAGTGAGCATACACTGCCCAGCACGTGGGACTCGAACCTAGGACCTTCGGTCTCGTGCGCGAACACCTCTAGAGTATGACATAATCTATCAATATAAAGTCCTCGGATTTTTCAAACATTTTGAGTGACTATTTTTAAATGTTTGCTAATTTAAATCCTTACTAGATTTTATAAATGTCCACAAGAAATTCAAGTATACATAATTTCTAAGAAGTATAAGAACAGGTTTCGCTTCAGTGTGGTTACCGTCTTCTCTAAATATACTGTATAAGAGTCTGAATTGTGTCGAACTTCTCTGTTCAGGTTAACTAGGATTTTGTATTACATGATAATTTCACATGATCAACTCTAACTAGTTACTCGTTCCCTACAACATGTCATCTTTGTTGATGAACACCTCTTCTGGAAAGCCACTGATATAGTGAACACTGATAACATTGCTCCACCAAATTACTCATTCAAATTCATCCATAAAGTAAAAAGACTTGGTTCAAATGGACTACAAATCAGAAACATATGTACCACAGGGGCCTTAGCGGTCCACCGACTCCAGCCTAATCTGTGTGTATTAAACCAATAGAGGCGGCTCTTTGAATATCTCGGCTACCCGCTCCCACAATCTGGATAATTCAACAAGTTAACTTTTTGCTTGTTTAATTCACTTGATATTGTTTTTACTTGAATATTCCCATTGATGTTTTAGGAATGAAATTGATCAGTCTCTTATTGGCATATGTGCATACTGTGCGTATGCCTCGATATTGCCTTAATTTACAAGCATTATAAGCAAGGATGGATAGTGGCTAGCAGTGGAATCCAGGACGCGCGTTTCGTCCCGTTTGGGACTCGTCAGCTGGATGTACCTGCATCTCAGAGTTGATGTTCACTCTGGGACTCGAACTCAGTACCGTTCGCTTCAAACGCCATCGCGTTATCCACTTAGCTACTGAGTCCTGATAGCCACTTGCTTGTGCAATGGGGTGAAGTTTAATTCACTTGATATTGTTTTTACTTGAATATTCCCATTGATGTTTTAGTACTGAAATTGATCAGTCCCAGAGTGAACATCAACTCTGAGATGCAGGTACATCCAGCTGACGAGTCCCAAACAGGACGGAACGCGCGTCCTGGATTCCACTGCTAGTCACTATCCATCTTTGCTTTTTGCTTGTTTGTATTAACACAGCATTATGCCTATTAGTCTCATAACTTATACAGATGTGTTTGTGAGAAGTTTACGACATTTGACTATACAAGTTACAAAAGAGTCCAATGAGACATAGTGGTTGCTGGCTATATTCATCGAAAATAATATACATTATTCAGATGTTGATTCCTGAACTGCTAACAATTAACTGGCGACCACTCAATATTTATCGCAGGGATCGATAAATAAATAAGAAAAGGAAACCTGTTGAGATACTTTGTGCTGAGAATTCTATATTGTACCGAAAATATAACATTGAATAATGGTAATAATAATGATATCATTCTATCATGATCTCAACTCCCTTCATATCATCCATACTCGCTAAACTATTGTCACTATTCTATCATAATTTCTTCGTAACCATTAATTAGCTATTATCAGAATACTTATCCGGTTCTTTATATTTACCAGGCGGGAAATTGTCTCTCTTCTATATAATATCTTCATCTGAAAACATTTTCCCTTAATTGTTTGCTCATTACGTAGTCAATCTATATTTGGAATTTTTAAACTATTATCAACACAATACCGCTCGGTATTCATTTCTTTAATTCCTTTCTAGTTGATAATTATCTTCCATCTCTAATGTATTTTCCACTTGGTCTTTTAGGTGTTTTTCGACACTTGGAAAAACTTCCTATTACCTTTGAAATGATTCAACATTGATCAATGTTATCATAGACTCCTCCTGGAGCTCGAGAGCGATTAAAAGAAAAGAGATAGAGATGGGACCAGCAACTTCATCCCGTAGAAAAATGACTTCCAAAATAACGCCAACCAATGACGTCATTTAATCCATTAACATTCTCTTCTGAGGGTTAAGGGATAATCAACTATGAGAATATCGACGTCCCACTGTGAATACTGAGATGTTTCAAAGGTCACAAGGCTGATTCCCCTTCAAACAATCAAAAAAAACAATTAACACCAATAAATGGGAAGTCCGCACCATGTGGCAGACCAGGAAGACCAGCTGAGGATATGAGAAGCTACAACCTGATGGTGCTCGGAATAAGTGAAACTTATAGGATGTGAACTGGACAAAAATGGTTGGCTTCGATAGGGGTATTGTTGCACTCTGGTATGAAGAAAAAATACAAGGCTGGAGACGATCGTAGAGAAGTGTCCAGAAAAGAACCTGACTATCCCGATGGGAGGTTTGAAGGTCAGGGCTGGAATGGGAAATTATGTGATTTTAACGAAATGATTATAGGTGGTAGTATATTCCACCACAAACGCATACAGAAAACTACAGTGGTTTCACCGGAACGCATTACAGAGAATCTGATCGATTACGTTCTTTTCAACAAAAAATTCTGACGGTTTATAAAAGACGTAATAACGAACAAGACAGCTGACATAGTTTGAGATTACTGCTTGCTTATAGTCAATTTGAATCAAAAGCTAAAGAATCTCAGGACAGCTTGGGAAACAGCAATACAAAAGTTTAGTACAGCCTTCCTTTTAGATGTTAACAAGTTTAGAGAGTTCAGTACGGTAGTGATCAACAACATGTTTCAAGCTTTACAAGATCAACTCAAACAAGAGGAAACCACCATAGATAACTACTGGAAAAGGATTCAAAAAGCATTAACTTCAAAATTCAAAGAGATGCTGGTTCCTAAAAAGCACCATCATAAGAAGATCTCTATCGATATCGTGGTCAAGGTTCAAGAAAGGAAAGACAGCAAGACAGCAATTAACAGCATCCGAACAAGAGCAGAATAAACCAGAGCACAGAAGCAAATAAACCGGTAAAGAGAGACATCGGGGCTGATAAGCGGAAATACGTGTATGACCTATTAGAAAAGGCGACAAAAAAGGATATATAAGAAAACTATATGATATTACAACCAAGCAGCTTGCAAGAAAACATAGTAGATCAAAGCAACCAGCCAACAACAAAGAAGGAAAATCAATCACTGAGGGTTAATAGTAGCGGGATAGGTGTGTGGAGCACCTTGAAGATCTTTCGAATATAGTGAAAATTCCCATTTTGCCATTTGTTAAATAAAGAAGGTACGAACTGAGCGAAGAAAAAACCAATTGAAAAGAAATATCTTCGCTCATTTCGTTCCATCTTTCGAATAGATCGGCCCCTCTGAGCACACCCAACTTCGAGGTCAAACCCAAAGATTGCCACGCAGATGGTACCCCATCAACGAACAAAGAAATCAAAAAGGTCATCACGAAATTCAGGAATCCCGAAGAAGTAGTTGAAACAAACAGCATGGATGCAGTCAGACATTTTTGACTTCTCAAATGACTTAGTGTCATAACGCTTAGTTTTCCACGTCTACACGAAAGGGACGTTAATTGACACTAGATTCCCTCCCAGTGTCTATTCTACAGAACTTCGACACAACTCAGATCAAGAACACGTTATTAATCTCACTAGAGCGTAAATGTACTTCCACAACCAAAGCCGAGAACAATCAATAATAACAAGAATAATAGCAAGGATAGGGGAATATTAACTCATCTAATGCCTGTCAGACTATCTACAAGTTTAAATAAGCAAACAACCAATCATTATCATCCTCGCTTGCTCATCATTTATCCTCTCTACCTCAAACACAGCAACAAATTAGATCGAAGAATGCCAATAAAGAAACTGCTTCTACATCAGTAAGCCTCAACATACACAAGGAAAATGAAAAGATCCTAAAATACAATACAGCCTGCACAAACCAAATTACACCTGACGGTCGTTTTCTCGAAGAGGTGGAAGGCTTTACGTACCTGGACAGCATTACTGATAAAAAAGGATGATCTGGTGCAGGTATAAACATACGAATAGGCACTGCAAAAGTAACATTCCTACAACTGACAAATGTCTGGAACTAAGAACAACCGTCACCCATTACCAAAGTAAGAATCTCCAACACTGATGTTAAAACAATTCTGTCGTATGTAGCTGAAACTTGAAGAACTATTTCATTCAT